GTCAAGTGCGTAAGCACAAAACGGATAGAACCGCGCCTCCCATTCAGTTATATAATATAATGTATATATAATTAACGTATCCGTATCTTTCAAAGTTTTGTCAAGCATAGTTCCTTGAGCACCTCTGATCCGAAAGTATCGAAAAGTAGCAGGTCAGCCAAAGTCGCATCATTGCGGGCCTCGTTGATAATAGCACCTTTCAGAAATGGATACTTCCTTGGTTGGAAGGTGTGTTGTTTTTGATTGTTTTTGGAGAACACGTTTAGGACCATATTGGTGTTGACCTGCTCAACCAAGAACTGCATTGTCCATTGTAACAACAACATGCACGAACCCAAAGAGTCTGGGACAAACACAAGCACTTCATTGAAGACCTTGCAACCCAACAACTAGTACCTTCCATTTCGGGCTAGGGTGCTCTCCAAAGTCTAGCAATTTGGGAAGAAGGCAGTTTCTACTTTCACATTCTCATCGTTTGATACCTGTTTAGCTGTCTCGGAACAAGCTGCTCCATCAAAGCTCCAATGTCTCTGACCCTGGCCTGGCTGAGCAAAGCCCTACGACCAACCTCCGCTAACATACCAAACTTCATCAAACTTCAACGAACACAAATCCTGGCAGCAAATAGCAGTCTCAAGTCAGCCATGTTCAGATTTCAGGGCTCTAGACTCTATATAGATCAGTTCCTCTTGCCACGCGAACCAGTAGCGTCCTCGAAGGCTTCATAGGCTTTGGTTTCCCGCGGGCGGCAATCGAAAGCGTAGAAGTGCAAACCCACCTCAAAGGGACACAGGCGCGAAATAGCGCGAGCCGTTTGAGCAACTCACCACGGGACGGGTTTCACTTGCGCACGCAAAAAGCACCTCATTTGCGCATGCAAGGTTGACAGTCGAACACGCCTACACCTATACAGTAATGAAGGGGGCCATGTCCAAAACCTCACTTGCGCACTTTGGCATGTTGCTGCATTGGAGTGGCACCTTGCTCATCTAAACTTTGCCCCCGGTGGCTCGAAAGCTGTGCTACTCTAAATTTTGCTCCCACGTGGCTCACATTTGGGACGGCACCTCCTCCTCTAAATATTGCCCTCGGGTGGCTCACAAAAGGTCTGCGCCGTTGGAATGGTACTGTACTTCCTCTTCTAAATTTTGCCATCCGGAGTGGCTCACAAAAGCGTTGGCTTCAGGGAGACATATTGTCATGCTGGCATTTAGTGTGTCCAGGCGCACACTCCTCAAGAGGCTTCTCAGCCTTCCAACTTGCACGTGTACAACCGAGGCGCTTTCCACGCGTACAAGATCGTACAAGCCAGGCGGTTTCCGCGTGCACAAGCGAGCGCCATGCCACTCACCACTTATTATATGCAACTCTTAAAACACAAAGGGGAGGACCATGCCAGCGATGCAACCCAGGAGCGTAAACTGGACAGCCACATGATGCATCGGTGCAGGCGCAGGACTCACCAGTGCAATCACACGCCATCTGAATAAATTTCTCGGCGTAGCTCACATGCACCTGACTCAAAGCAGTTGCGAGTTTACACCTGTGGGGAACTCGTAAAAAAACTCATGAAAAAGCTCATGTTCACCTGTGCGAGCAAGCAGCTGCCAACAGTGGTGTCGAGAAGTACTTGTACCCTTTCTTGTAGGCAATACGTGCCGTCTTCTTCCAATTCTTCATGACAGTGTCAACGCACTTCCTGACGCGACTGGTTACTTGTCCTGTGTGTTCCAGTCCACATATAGAAATGGTAGACCGACAATCTTTTCGCAATGGTGCTGACGACGATTCAGCTGGGGCTCCGTTCTTGAGACCAAAGCTCTGGCAAAGGCTGCTGGGCATCGCAGCCGGGCACAGGCCAAAACCCCACGCCGGTGGCAACAGACCTCGGCCAACAATCGCCTCGGAATGTAAGTCAAAACACGCACTCAAACTCCACAAGTCGTCTATCATCCTGGTGTTGAACATCTTCGAAAATTTCTACTACAGCTGCGTCAAGGCTTTGATAGCAAACCTAATGACAGCTTAAACAAGAAGCAGGATTTGCACTTCACAGACTCTCAATTTATGCTTACTCCGGCTGCCCGTCGCATATTCTCAGAATCGGGTGACACATGCCCTGGTCGTTGGGCTTTGCTGGCGCCAAGCCCACGCGGCCATCCGCCACGGGACAATCGTTACGTTGCACAGCTTCCGCGGTGCAAGGCCTCTTGGGAAAAAGCAAGGCCCGTTGGGTGCAGAACTTGGGATCTCTCTTGATTGACATGGCGTATTGGATATGAATGGACCCAATGGACGTAACAACGTATAGCCGCAAAGCACAGCGTGCATCTCAAACAATGCTGCACGAATCAGCCAAAACACATTCCAAGCCCACCTGACACAGGTACCGAACATATTCCCCATGCAGCTCCCCTGGATATCTGGCTCGTTCATGCCGAGGAAAAGGTTTGACATTTCAGCTGGGCATCTATTTCCTTGCGAATCCTCAGATGGGCACGTGGGCCTGTGCAAACGGCAAACATTCATACAAAGCAAGCAAGGTGTCTGTCAACTTTGCAGCTGAAGCCAAAAACTCTTCAAAATTGAAAGGGAGAATCGAGGAAGTTTGTCTCTCCAGCTTCTCGCACCCACTTCTTCTCCACCACGTTAGAGCCCCAGATTTCAGGCACGAAGAGGAAGTCTTTACTGAGGTACTCAAAACCTTTGTCTGTTGCCTGTGGCGCCAAGTTCCAATTCCAAAAGGTCACCTTTCCGAAGGAGCTGCTCTTCTTCAAGGCATCAATGAAGCGCTGGGTCTCGGCCGTCGTTTCTCCATCCTTAGAGATTCCTGGCAAGGCACCAAGGAGGCCACAACCCCACAATGGATCTGTTTCAGCCTCAAGTTGCTCAGGACGCAGGTGCCTTCGGACAAAAAAACAACAACCTCAAAACAGGCGATAGGAATTACTGTATGGGAACTGTGAAGGGCCACACAGGGACATAAGGGAAAACCAAAATCTGTTTGAGCAAGTCTTAGCCAACGTTGACCTTGGACTTCAACACCCTCGAAGTAGAACTGACTGATGTCCTTGGTTCACAGCCTTGTTAAAGAGCTGGCTGAAAGGATGCCAGCTCGAAGACTCCAACAACTTTCGGACTCCCCAGTGCCACGGTTTATATAACAGCCTTCGATTGTGAACGGTTTATGTCAATTGGTTCGCTATCGTGAACGGAGAAATCCAGTTGGCTGAGGCAGTGGCGTTGGAGGATTGAAGTAGGCCTGAGCGGCATAGCTTCTAGCACTGCACAAACCGAGGAACATGAGCATGGGTGCCTCCACCTTTACCTTTATGTCAGTACAATATGCGATAAATAAATTTTGAAGGCCAATTCTTCCACGGCAAGAATGCAACCTGATTGCAAAGCATCTTAGCGTGGTTGAAACAAGACAAGCTGCCAACCCTTCCACACCGGCAAACCCGACGGCTGCCAGGATGGAAATGTATGTGGCCACGCGAAGACATGCCAACCATCCTGGAACTGAAGCAACAGTAATGAAGGAATTATGACCAAACATCCAAGCATCCTCGCAACAGGATCCAGTTTTTAACAAGATTTTCTGGGGAGAACTTCAAACAATCACAAGCACTAACACATACAAAGTGCCCCAAATCTTCTGAGTCATTGTTCCGTTATGCCACATGTAAGCGTACCGGGTTCAGTTTGGTGAGTGGTGTTGGTGTGGCTGAATTGTATGGCATGGTTCCAAGCATGGTCGGACGCCTGCACATACAATACATCAAGAAAACTTGTGCATCCGCCCGAATCCCCTGTTGGTTGTGATAAGCAACTCTTGATACACTTATCTTACTTGGAATGTAGGTCACATAGATCGTATGTGGTCAGCATAAATAGGCCTCAAAGAATCATCAACCAATGCAGCATGATGAGTGCTTTTGAGTTTGGCTTGCTTGAGTGCACTTAGTTCAAGCCAGGGGTGAAAGAACTGAAAGCATCCTCACAGAACCCAACCTCAAACAAGTGTGCATTGTCAGCACGGGAGTTTGATGGAAGTTCTAGATCAGGTGCACACTAGCTATCCACATTCACATGAACACCAATCCAAGAACAAACACTGTTTGAACCATCCCATGTTTCGCAAAGATCCGAGCAGAAGAAGCGGTGCAAGTTACTACTGATCACCTCCCCTCCGCCGACGTGACGGCTTTCACGAAATCAGGGACTCAGTGCAGCTGGGGTACGCACATTCTGCCATCTACTACTTTTGCCGCTCTCCAATTCCACGGAGGGGCATTCAGGATCAGAGCTTCCTCGGATGCGCTTGGATGCTGGGGAACCTGACGTCTGTTGACTATGACACAATGCAACGGGAATGAAAGCGGATCAAATGCTGGCGACCCCATGCGACCCCGGAGAATTTGAACTCCTTGTGTTGTGGCGGCAAGACTTCTCTAACAGTGATGCACGGGATGCCAATAGGGCGGTGAATCATAAACAGCTTCAAAACTCACGCAGCTGCCTCCCACCCATGTCAGAGCACACACATGTGGCAAGCAAAACAAATATATAAATTAAGGTAAAGCTCTTGCTGCCATATCCTGAGTGAAGAAAGGTATTGGGCAGTGTGCTTGAGCATCCGGCAGCAGCGGAAGTCAGAAACAGTACACGTCTTGAAACGACGAGCGGAACATTCTCTAGATTGCAAAGTTTTCTTCCTTCCAATCCGATGATTGCCGTGAATAGCCTTTGCTCAGGTGAGGCGAGCAGTGGGTCTGAAAAGCCAGTTTTGGCTGCCTATGAAATGAGTCTCTATATGTGCACTCTTGGCCGGCGTAGAACTTCAAGAAACATATTTGCCAATTTTACTGGCGTCTATGTGCGAAGGTGACACGAATAGAGGCAAAATGAGTTGACGGTGGCAACTGTAGAGCCAATCCTGTCTGCCTTCATGCAGAAAGGAGTGGAAACTTCGTGCCTTCATGCAGAAAGCCCTGCAGTCATCGAACAGGCCGCGGTGCCCAAGTGATACCATGCGTTCTCAGCCTTGCAGCTTGGCTTCCTATAGTAGCATCCTTGCTCCTAGTAGCGATGCCCTTTGCTCCTAGTAGCTTCTTGTTCCTAGTAGTAAGGCCAGGAGCCCCTAGTAGCGTCCTTGCTCCTAGTATTGTGGACGAATATCGAACACATAAACTTTGGATCAGCCTGCTGACAGCTAGGAAAACTGAGGCCACATCTGCAGCGCTACGTCGTTGCCTTCCGTAACAACCTGGCTCTAATCTTGAGTGAATCTCTCAGCTCTCCAAGCATGCGGGCTTATACTTTCAGAGCACAAATGGCTTCAATACGACTTCAGTACTACTAATAATGAGGGCCAACAGCACTAAAAGCCCTAAGGCTTTAAGGAGTTGAGTCCCCATCTCCAGAAACATTGTCCCGGCATCGTGGCAGAACTGCGTCCAAGCAATTTATCCATCACATGCCCTTGAAAGAATGCCTCATAGCCATCATTGGCCGCTTGGCTGACCTGCCAATATGCAAGCACATCATCTCCTGTACAATAATTCCTCCAGAATTACCAATAATCAGCGTTGAAAGGTGTTGATCAATGAACGTAACTAAAAGCTAAAACATGTCCTTTCTGCGGAATCAAACTCAGCTTGATACAAGGGCAGGGTGGATTCGTAGTCGATCGCTTCCATAGCGAAGTGCCTGTAGCTGCTGTCTGCAAACGCGTGGCCGACTGAACCGTGCACACTCAAAGAAACCAAAACTACTTTGTGGATGGACACATTTTGGTCTAAACATTTGCGCGCCAACCATCTTCCCCCGAGCCTCACCCTTTTGTGTCACAGCAGCACTCATGACGTCAAGGTCGTCATGGAGCTCCTTCAAAAGAGCAAGTTGTAAGATCTTCGAGTCTGTCTTTGCATATTGAACAGCCAGGTGATGTCCAATAATCCAATGATCCTCCTTTTGCAAGCTAAGAGCAGCAATTACTTTTGCTCACTGTGACTCCTTTCACATTGCCCAGAATCTCCTCATCTATGAATTGTATCACTTGCCAACTCTGCTCGATGGCGAACAGCGCTGCCAGCAGTGCACAGTGGAGTGCCAGGGTCCGAAGTGTCCAAACATGTCCAAACACTTGCAAGATAACTCGTAGTAAATCACTTGCAAGTTTTTTTTTTAAATTACTAGTAATGCACTTGCTACTAGTAGCGATCACGGGACCATTAAAAATGATAACTTAAGTGGCCGTATTGTGTTCCACTGTAGCCTTTCCGTTCCATAACTGAGTCCAAGTTCGCTGAGGCATCATGGTCGGCCTAAGTCTTTGTTCCTTTTCAACTCCCCCGAAGCATACTTGTAGGCCCTCCAGTCGTTGGCGATCGCCTGCACCAAGCCATCTCTATGCCGTGCATTCGCACCTGCATCCCACCCACTGGGCCATACTGGGCCCACGGCCTCCTTGACGACGTCGAAGTCTTCTCTGAAGGACTGAAAGAAAGCATGCCGAAGAGCACAGCCGTCCTGCACAGGTGATCAGCAGAAAATCACCATCATTGCACAGGGTGATGTTCATCATTGGAACATCTCCTGGCGGACAGCTTCCAACACCACCTGCAAACGAAGTTCGGCTGCAAAGTCTTCAGGGAACCGATCGAATCACTTAGAACCGATCCGCACTCCTCGCGGTCGCATCGTAGAGCTTCACATGCAAACTGTAGTGCCAAGCCAGAACTCTTCAAGACCTGCTGGTATCAAGGCAATTGAAGTATGGTTCCCAAATCCCGAGGTGGATCAGGATCTGTGCTGCATCAGCTTCTTCGTTTTTGTCCACGGAAAAAGCAACCAAACACATGAAACACGCAAAGCAGCTAACTGTTATATAATCAGTACTGTAGAACTTAGGGCACTGCAACCCCCAAAAGCCAGCAAAAGCCAGTTGCCTCCAAAACAAACTCCTTGTCTTGTCGGAGGTTCTGATATGTAAACTGGAAGGCCTGAGTAAGTTTCAGTTTGAAGCGTGTTGGAATTGCCCACCTTGACCTCAACTATTTGGACTACAAATTGCCGCACACATGGCCGTATCATATCACAAGAATCGTGACTATACCCTGCACAACTCATGTAGTTCTATGATGTTATATGATTGTTTCATACTGTCCAGGCATCGCTTGCGACACGAAATTCGGCTTCATGTGACTTCATGCTTCTTTCTCAAGTGAACGTCCCGTTTTGAGCTCCCTACCCGCCAGTCTTGCCTCACCGCCTTTTGGCCACATCCAAACGGCATGCAAGTTCACCAGTCATCTACAACACAGTTCACCGGGAAGCTTGTAGCCACAATTCTGTAAAAGAGGTCTCCTATGCTTGGCATGCACAACTGAGACAATTCCCACACTAAAGACCTTATAAGATCAAATCACATAAGGCTACCTTGACCCCACTGAGGCAATCCAGCAATTACCCTGCTTCAACCTACACAACATGCATGCCATCCATGTGCCGTCCATTCTTTGGGCACCCCCACGGCCAGACCAAGACGGGGATCGGCCCGAACAGCCGGTGGCCTTGGCGACATTGAGATTGCAGCTCTGTGGTGGAAAACGAATCTCACTGTAAGGCCAGGAGCCCCGTTTGTAGCATCCTTGCTCCGTTCGTAGCGATGCCAGGAGCCCCTAGCGAACATTGTTCCTAGTAGTAAGGTCAGGAGCCCCTAGTAGCTTCAAACTCCTGATTTCGATATTACTTTACTTCGAGCCATCTCCACGACCAGTCGAGTCGAGCCCTGGCAGGACAACCTCTTTGTCCGTAGAACCTATGCTTCAGAGTGGCTTCGACTCAAGACTTATGTGACAAATGCTGCCCTGCTTGCAGAACCTGCTTCTCTAGATGGCCTGCATCTTGGACTTGGCCCACCGTGGCAAAACATATGCTTCTGAGTGGCTTGGAAGCTAGACTTGTGAAACGCTGGCTTTCTTTCGCACAGGTGCCGTGTTCCGCGTCGACTTGGGCTTCTTGATGCTTCTTGTGCCGCATCGGATTTCTTGCGGGTTGGACCTGCATAGAACCAGCGTTTCCAACCCGCCACAGATTGGCCTCCTGTCACCGCAGCTTGTGGACCTGCTGAGTCGGTCCGGCAGGACCACCGGGTTAGAGCACCGATGAAGAGCACCGGTGGACCGTTCCGCTGCGGTCAAAACCGTGTTCTAGGGCTTGTTGGGAATCAAATGATGCCTCTGCCTGTTGATGTTGCTGCAGGTGCTCGCCTCTTTTGAAGTTGGTGTATGTTCTGACCAGGGTGCAAAAGTCTGAAGATAAGCATGTCGCTTGCAAGGGTCCCCGGCGCTTTCGACAAAGCTTGCCAGTCCCGCGACACTGCCTGCAGAAAGCTATATGGCCCCCTCTCAGTCCTTTTCACTGCTGTTTGCCCCCCGGCCTGGCTCCATGATTTCCGCTCCACCGGCCTCAGGGTGTATTTTTTTTCGAACGTTCTGTTTTGGGTTTTATAAGTAAGGACTCAAAGGAGTCAAGGGACCAGGATTCTTGCCATCTGAAAGACATACCGTTCTTTTCGGGGGTGAGGCTCTTTATAGAAGTCAGTGCATAGGAGCCGAGCTATATCAACCTGTGACCTGCCGCTAGTTTCTGAGTTTGCTATTGGCTTCTTGCAGTCCAAAGCTTGTGCGAACTGCATAGGCATAGGCTTTAAGAACAAAGAGATCAAAAGACATTACTTTGACTTTGGCATGAAGGACACTTGATCCAAGCTAGAGTGAGGTTCAACATGACACTCCGGCAGAAATGCAACTGTTGGACGATCAAGAAAACAAGGCTACAACGCATTGCGAAACTTTCAACTTGACTTAGTGTCATTTTGCACCAAGTCAATCCACACGTTCTTAGCATCTCTGGGGCCAGGGGCGTTAGGTTGGGCAATTTCATAGTCATGAGCGGTCCATGAGAGACGTTGGATGCTTGAGGCTGTGGACACATGCGGAAACCAATAAGCGAATGGAAACCAATTGGGGTCAACGGGATGAATCAATTAACTCAATGCGACAGCTTCTGTGCTTGTGGTCCAACTAAATCTTGTCATTTTTATTTCAGGGCATGTGAGAGAATAAAAGGTGGATGGCTAGTAACATGTCGTGCCTGTCACGCCTCCTTGAAGTCTCGCGGCTCTTGCAGGGTACTCGAGGTACACATGTAACATATACATATATATATATGAATGATTAGAACAATTCTATGCGCTGCGCAGGAAAAACAGTCACATGACAGTGAACAGCGCTCTTTTTCATCCACAGCCTTTTGACATCTTTTGACTGCATCATACGCCACCAAAAGGGTAAGCAAGCACCCATTGTGCAAGTATTGTGCATTGGCAGTGGCCAACTACGAGAAAGAACTCCAGGGTCATCTGCTTCGCAGTCCAGGAAAAGGGGAGTCCAAACTACATTCTGTACACAGGCTTTTCCACAGTGTGCTCCTGTCATCAGGCTCGCTCCGGCCGTATGCGATAGCCGCTAGCCTACCCTCTTGCATGCAAGCACCCTTATTGCCAGTAATTGAACATCTGTATTGTCTTGAGATTCTGGAGGCACTATGGTTTGGGGCGTGTTGTACGGTGGCACAATTTCCGCAATGAACTTTCCCCATGCTCCCAAGCGCCTCCTTCCGACCATTCGGCCATCTTGTAATGGTTCGAATGCCTCAATCTTCTTTATCTAACGTGACTCCCAGCTTTGGCTGGTTACCTTTACCCCTCACTTGGATTTGATTCTTCATCTGCCATGTGAGTGCGAGCACGATGACCACAAAACAAGGCAAACAAGGGTGCGGAGTGGGGCGGAACACTTGCATCCCACACATGACATACATATGTATATGTGTACATAGAGTCTTTTGGCATAATTATATATGTACTTTGATCCTTCCAGCACCCAACTTGTTCAGGATCGTTCTTCCGAGATTCGCAGTCGCCGCAGCCCATCATCCCCCACGAGAGTCTCTCTCTGAACTTCAAGGCGTGGCCAGTCGTCAATCTTGGTTGCAAACCTTTGTGCCTTGGGGTAAAACCACAACCCCCAACCAAAGACCAAGGCAGCATCAACAAGAGGGCCTTCAGTGCCTACGGCTCCTTCTCACTTTCTTTCACGTCTGGGGTCAGCACGTGACCGTCTTGACCTGGCAGCTGGGAGGCAGCTTGAGCGGCACGGAGTAGCCGTGCGTAAATTCCTTCTTTGACCGCTGCTGCATGAACTCCTTGCGGGCAGGCGGGGCTTCAGCTCCGGGGTGCTGAAGCGCCCGAAGTGATGCGTTGTGATTCGATTCTGTCCTGGCTTGATATTGAATCGTGCCAGCTCCTCATCCAGCATCTGATCCACTCCCCGGCCACTAAAGGCTGCTTGAAACAGCTGCTCAGCTTGTTCATCGCTTACCGTGCTGAAGGGAGGCCTCCCATTCAGACCCGTAGAGGCACCAGGCGCAAATGAGCGTGAGTTGTTTGCAGCTTTTCCTGCACCCACAGGATTGACATGCAGCAAGTAACTAACAGTTACTAACATACAGAGGGATAGAGAGAGAGAAAGAGATATATATATATACATATATACACATCTCTGGCGATAGCAGGCAGGCCTGTCTGCTGTGCTCGTTGTCGAGACCGCAATCGCTGGTACGCCTCTGATACGCGGCGGAAGGCTTCCTCCGCAACGCCAGCCTGAAGCAAAGCACAACCAGTCCTACGGTCATCGACACTGTCAACTTCTTGCAGGATTTGCAGAACCATATACATTGATGCCCGGTCCAGCCTGGCTGGTGCTAGCCGAATCTGGGTGCGTTTGGATTGCCGCTTTCAAGTAGGCTGCTCTCACCTCTTCTGCCGAAGCACCTTGGTGAAAACCCGAACAGGACTGACTGGCTTCATCTTGCTTCTCTCGTTTCACTTGCTTCATTGCTAGACATGGTAAGCACCTGGATGAAGGCCCAGGATCTTGTACGGATCCTCCACCCCAGCATATGTCCTGGCCAACTGATTCCAAGGTCTTAGGCCCTAGGCATGTCAATCGATTGGAGAGGCAGCATGGCCCAATCTTTGCTTGCAAAAAGCATCCTCAAGAGTCGAAGCTTCGTGACCTCAGCTCGAAAACAACACCAAAAGAACAGCACACTACTATGCCCAAGGAGGGGGCATGAAGCTTGATGAAGGAACACCAAAAGGACCGGATCATGGGGCATATGCATTTGGACGGCAGTATGACAGCGAATCCGCCTAGTAGATGGAAAGTGTACGCAACTGCATGTTGCTGTCAGTCAGGCATGCTGCTTGTGAACCCACTCATTAGTGGGAAAGCCAAAAGCATCCGCACAAACCTGCCTAGTCTCAAAGTTACAACAAAAAAACAGTGTGTTCTCCAATTTCATTAGCCTGGCTGGTTTGCACAGGGGCAACAAAAGGCTTGGCAAACGAGTCAAAATAGTCAAACAATTATGGCAGATTGTGTTTGCCCTTGATCCTTTTTCTCAAGACATATCTTATAAAATATTCTTCGTGTTGGACACTTTTGGTCTGAAGCTGCCTGTCTAGCATCACGAGCCAAATGCTGCAGCACGATTGGACAAAATGGTTGCAAGTTGATCAGCTGAAGAACCTGTATGGCAAATCCATCCCAAACTTGGCTAAAGCCAAGCCAATACTGTAAATAGAAAGCCCTGTGACTACAATAAAGTGACAATCCTAGCACATGTGACACCAGAACCGTAAGCCCCCTACATTTTAAACTGGCCCGTAGTGGTTACAGCAATCACGGCGGTCGAGTGCGTAGTAGCCGAAGCATGGCACATATTGAGAAGTGCGATACTTGCGTCTCAAATGATGTCTTTTGTCCGGCATACTTGCCATGGCATCCAAAACCCGGCACACTTTGCCCGGACACTGGGAGCATGTCTTTGACATGGGCTCCTGCCAAAACGAGTGCAGGCGTTGAGTCTTTGAACTCTTCATCTAACATCCTCGATCTAATGGCCTGAGATGGAGGCTGCCAGATCATCTGCCATGTATTCCTTGGAGTCCTCGTTCTCAGAATGAAGGAACCTAGGAGCACACCAGCACATGAAGAAAACTGTCTGGCATGCACCTTCATGTCGCCGTCAAAGCAACATCCACCCTGCTGGTCTGCTGTTGTCGTTTCTGATTCCAGCCGTGCTCAAAAGGCCAGAAGGAAACCACAGCCCACAGCGTCTTGAAACTTAAGGACAGCACAGACAACGTCCTTAGGTAGGTGCGCCAGCAAGGGGCTGTCTCTGACCCATGCCATTGAATTGACAGCCCAGCACAGCTCCAAAGATCGTAAATATGGACAAGTCATACCAAGCAAAACAGCCTGTGTGCCGCTCTAGGGGAAGAACCGATCATACGCTCTCCTGCCAAGTTTGCACGAAGGACATTGTAAGACATTGCACATTGCAAATCAAGTGGGCATCATTTAATGTGCCAGGCAAGCAGTCTGGTGGCAGTTTCTGGGAGGTCGTAGAAGGCCTTCAAGTCCTGAAGGGCACACAAAACAACGACCCTCCTCAGGAAAACCGTCTCCAACACGAAAAAGGAGCTTCCTCTTTCTCTTTTGTTTGCGGTCCTTCAGGCTACCGACGTGGCGAGTAGATGTTGACAGCCTTGGCAATGGCGACGACGCCATGGTGACGACGCCGATGTGAAAAACGGCCCCAGGACCCGAACGCCAGCGGTCCCATCGGGGCACCGATGGTTGTACGGTATGTGCTCCTGCACGGCGTTGAACGACTGGCCGAAACACGAAGACGCTGCAGAATGTAGGCTGCACATGGCTGCGCCTCATGCCACTGCACATGCCAGACCTCAAGACATTCACAGCCTAAACGAATCCACCAAAGTTGTCAGACTGAAGGTCTACAAATGCGACGACAAACAGCTGGCAGCCGCGCTTTGTGCCATTCTACTCTGCATTCAACTGAGGTCATTTCCCAGCCCAGGAATTCGTACCAAGTGCTGATGATGCCTGATGCGCTGACATTTCAGACCAAGAAGACATCACTTCACCCATCCTTACAATGTTACAAAAAAGCTCCCTTCGCATTGTTTGAATCCACCTTCGGCATTATTTGAATATACTCTCGAAATCTGCTTGCTTCGTGGCTGCAGATCTGGAGTTGTTGTTGATGGCATTCCGACCTGGGAGATGCCACTCAGTACTAAAGGGGCAGCGCCGAGCGAGCAATACTTGGCCTCCAATCGGATAGTACCTTTGCACCACTATCGGCGCGGCATGAAGGACACTGTGACATCATCTTCAACGGGCTGTGGCTCTTCGACAAATCTTGGGCTCAGACTCTCCTCTCCACATTTTGTCATTGATTGGAGGTGGCTGAGGAAGTGGCCTGAGTTTACAGCTCCAATGGAGAGGCCGCTGCAACAAAGGTGCGGGAATCAACACTAAAACCAAAACAAACAAAGATTGTGCACAATGCAACATCATGAGAAACCGCTGCTTCAGTTTGCGTCGCACTGGCATGCAAATAGTTTCATTTTGCTTTCTGCCGATGCTACTGTACAGTAGAGGTAGGGTGGCGCATAACATTGCAACAGCATAGTGGACATAGCCCATTGGCAGCATCTCTCTTATGTCTGATGGCTAAATGGTAGAAACAACACGTGCTTCGTCATAACTCATACTCGGTCCCATGTAGTTTGTCAGGCGCGTAACCATTTGTATCAAAACCATGTGGTGTGCACGGCAAGCTCTCGGCTTTGCGAGGAAGGCTCTCTGCACCAGCCGAATGTGGAGATTGATTATTTGGAGTGGCTTAGCAGCAATCTACATGAAGTCTTCTTCGATCTGCCTGCACTCCTCAATGGATCCAGTCTTTGACACACCTCAACTCTTTGGCACAACATCCAGAAGCAGCATCCAAAACTTTTCCGCGGCACCATTGCAGTCAATATTCAAACATAACCTAAGTCACTAAGTCTAAGTTGTAGGCCCGCGTTCGTGGTCTTTTCAAGGTGCTGGAGTGCAGCGTACGACTGCAACTCCTGTTCGAGCAGCAATGCGACTGAGCGAGAGCTTGCTGCGAATCGTTACAGTGTTTTGAACAATGACAAGTTTCCTGTCAGTGCTGCTTCTCAAAATCATACGGCACTCGGACCGCTTTCCACACTTCGCCATGATCACACGTTGGTCCTTCTCTTCAGCATGGCGTTTGGCCTCTTCTTTTTCTGCCTTCTTTCGTTCCTGCACAGTGTCCGAGCTTCGACAGGCGACCTGACCAGGCTTCGACAGCCCACCTGGCCTCAATGATCTTTCTTCTCCTCGCCCGCTCTTCGTTATCTCGTTGCTCCTTTTCCTATGGCTCTGACAACGCAGTCGAAGAGAGCGCGTGACCCGGTATGTCTTTGCAACTGATGGTGAGAAAGGCCGCAGTTTGCACTAAAACATGCAGTGCCGCTGCCTTAGCCAGGTCAACCTGCTTCTCAACCCGTGTCTTCTCCAGCTTCTTGACCACATCTTTGTCCTCCAATGACGGGCAACTTCATGATCCTTTCATTCAACACTTGCTTCATTCAGCTGTCTTGTGTACTCGGTACTCATAGGCTTGTTGCTTTTGCTGGTCCTTGGCCACGTTCCTCATCAAGGTTCGGAATGACTCCTCCTTGAAGCCCACCTCAACTTGATCAATGGACAACTTGTCTCAAATGTGATTCTTTGCAACCCAGCCTGGCCAACTTCCATATGATCTTCTTTCTTCAGGTTCAGAAAAGGTGTGTAAACGATGTCGCACTGCGCCGCCTTGCCGAAACAAGCCCGCCCAAAAAAGACATCAGGAGCAACGCTTGAAGGCAAACAAAATGGGAAACCCGTGAGCCCGTCACAGGAACATCAACCACACACGTGTCAAATGCCTTAACTCATCCCGTGAGAAGCCTCATCTCAGTCCCGCTCTACAGCTAGCCTTCTTGCCTGATCTGTTTTGATGCATTTCAGTCGGCTAGCTATGGCTAGCTCGTCCACATGGATCGAGCACACTGTCAATGCCTCCACGTGTTGTTCACCGAACTGTTCGCCTTGCACCCTTCGATGGAGTTCTCCTTTGTGAGTTGTGCCATTTCCGCTAGGATCTCTTCCGGGACTGAGGCGATCGCATCCAACAGCCTGGTGCTCCAAGCGGTTTTCGAGGGCTGATGCAATCAGTAGTAGAGCTGAGATTGAGATGAAAGACCAGCTAGGCAGTGGAAAAACCTTGCACTTGAGAGCATTGGGTAGGAAGTTGGATGGGTGAATGGTGTCCAACTGATTGACCCCAATAAAGATCAATATGGCGCACAAACGACAAGACATCCAGTGCCTTTGCTTCGCCTCTGCCTTAACAGGTTTGTGACATTCAGGATTTACTTTGAGACGCATGCTAGCATATGCAAGCGTTGCTCAATAAGGTGAGCAGGTTTTGACCTGCCTTGTCTTTGACTCCAGCCAAGTCCACACTTCCAGGTGGCAGTCGAAGATACACGTGAGCTGAAGAGAGCTTGTCCACATGAAACCAAATGTCCTGGCGAATCTCAGCCCACAGGGCCCACAGGGCCCTTCAATCGACATGTGTGGGTGAACCCCCATGTGGACAGGTTGCAGGCTCCTCGGGAAATCCATACTTCAGCAACTCTTCGTTCTCGTACTTGTCTTTCCCCATGTACACGACCTCAGTGCTTGCCCTCCAGTCTCTGGTGACCTCTGACGATTGTACAGGAGTGCTTGGCTCGCCACATATCGAGGATCCGAGCAGGTGAAAAAGAAGACCTGGAAAGGATCTGCGACTCAAGGAGACAGCAACTGGTTCGATTGGTGTGGCTAAGGACGCCATGAAAGAAAGACTTTTTAATCATAAATCAACCAGTTGAACAAGCATCATTTCCTCTAGTCTTCAGCTAGAAGATGCAAGAAGTAACGTCCGGCTCGGCCATGCGGCCATCTTCTCGCCCGTGAGCTCGCTGCCCACGAGCTACGGCATCGAGACGTGCAAACGAACTTCTCGGTGCTTGAGCCAGCGGAGAAGAAAACACATCGCAGGTCGTCTGCGCGCAAAAATAATCAACGTGGTTTCACTATGTTTCACTTGTCACCCAACAATCCCAGGTTCAAGTTGATGTAGCCAGGTGATATCGGGTCACATGAACTCTCGGTGAGCTATTCAGATCTGACTGAAACATATTGAAACGTGAACGCACAAAACAAATAAATCGGGCCCATCAAGAAAGTGTCAAGCATATCAAAGCCAAACCAGTTCTGTCGTTCTGGCGGAAGCTCACCAATTTGGACTGCACGCTCCTGGCAGGGACGTCGTGCATCTTGTAGTAGCTTGTTTCAACCAAACCTGTGCAACAGAATGGTGGCCAAATAGGTCATTAACCATTAAACCAAGGAAAGTGGAAGGCAATGGACAGTCCTTGTTGCAGCCAATGGCCTTGGATGTCCAAGTCATATGACCGACACCAACTCGAATCCCAAACACCAGTGGTCATATCACTGGCCAGGGTCTTGATGCAATGAGCATCTTTGCAAGCAAGGGCCCCCTTGAAGAGGCCCAAAATAACCTAGTAGCGTCCTTGCTCCTAGTAGCGATGCGCCAAATTCATGACTATCCTATCCCACGTTTTCAACCACGCCTGTGTACACAGGTGCCGGGTGGTAACAAGGCAAAGAGTCTACCACCACCGACGAAGAAACTCTCAAAGAATTGAACATACTGGTTGTTCTCGACCCGAATCTGCCTTTTTTTGTTCTCAAGGTCTTCTTTGTCAAGGCCCTTTTGTGAGGTATCAAGCCGTGTCGGCACTAGTTGGGCCACGTTCGCTTTCCGCTTCACTGCGACCATAGCTGCAACTAATTCTGAAGTGCTAACGCATTCCGCTGCAAATATGGTTCTTTTCGAGCTTCTATCTGAAGGATCTGAAGTGTGTGTGTGTGTCCACACCTGTGCCTAAGGTTTGAGTCATACAGGTGCTACTAGGACCCCCGGTTCTGCTACTAAGGGCTTCCGGTGCCGCTACTAACTTGCAATTTCTTCACGCGAAGCAAAAAGAGGCAGGGGGACCGCCTGGCTTGTAACAGTGGCAGTCCAACGAAGAGGCTGTTACAAGTCACTGATATGGATTCTGGACGCAGAATCCACGTACCTGCAGATCAAGTTTTTAACACCTCGTTTCACCCTTGTTAAACATTTCTGGTACTCTGACCCAGCACTCGTTCAGTTCATGCAAGTCAAGGTCTACAATGCAGCTGGTAGTGTAATCGTCTAGAGTGGAACTTCGTACTGATACTAGCTCTTGCGAGCAACTCTCTAAGTGTGTTTCGCCACAGGGTCCCACTGTGGGCTGTGGTGTGATCCCCGTCAAGGGGCACGTTCAGACCCACATTGCGTGGGGGATCCCTCCCTGATCTCTCGGCTTGCACTCGGGTACTTCACCTGATTACCACTGAATCTCGGTATTGCATGCTACCCTTGATTTCATTCCGCAGGGCTTACTGTGATCAAAGAACTGAAGATGCGTTTTTGCAATTTCACACTGCTAAGTAATCAATTGTACAGTCACATCAGGCACGATTCAGGCACGACAGTGCGTTCAGGTTCGGTCAGTCACTTTCTGTACGGCACGAGAACTTGCACGTGCCTTTGTTACATGTTTTTCATGCTCTTCTGTTCTTTCTCTCCTTTTGTTGCTTTTCGTTTCTTGAGGCCTTTCTTTAGGTTCCAGGTGTCTTTCAGAGAAGGTTGCGCCGGCCCAAATCGGCCATACTTGGAAGCCAATGATGGCAGAGCCAATGATGGCAAGGCCTACTGGCCACCCTCCCTACCCCTCGGCCTCCGTTGCTATCCCACCCGCTATTCGGGCAACGGAAGGAAATCGCACTCAACACACTTGTGTGTTGGTGCCTTTCCTTCCGTTTCCCCTACTCTATTGCTAGCTACCCGGGCGGTTTAAGACCAAAGGTCCCGGCTGGTAGTGTAATCGTCTAGAGTGGAACTTCGTACTGATACTAGCTCTTGCGAGCAACTCTCTAAGTGTGTCCTCTTTCTGACGGGGTAGAGGCTCATCAAAGGAACTTGCTACTCAAGTTTCCCTACACATCTAGGAACCAAATCATTAGCGTGAGCTATCCTGCGTCCATACTAGTAGCGTCCTAGTAGCTAGGAGCGAACGTCTCCCTTACAAGACAAGTACGCAGTCTCTACTTAATTTATGTCAACCTATGATTTATCAACTTACCCTGAATAAAGCCAAGCAAATCCAAAAAAAAATATATTACATATACCCTAAATACTAGCCTAAATAAAGCTAAACGTCTCCAATCTGGCCTTTCACAAAATTGTCTTGAAAAAGACTCCTGTTCTTTAGCTTCGTTTATATAGTGTTAGTGACTTTCAATTCTCTATTACAGTAACTGGTTCCTTCTTTGGATTCCTTCTTGCATCCAAACCCCTCTTGATTTCATCAATTGGACTCACCAAACCCCAAAACCTTCGGATCAAAATTCAGTCTGGAAAGGGTACCCCGCTTGAAACCACAATACCCTAAAGAAAGCTAAAGATTCTGGCGGGCAGAAAAACTATCCATCATACTCATTTTCCTTTTGTATCGATTCCTGCACTTTGCTGCAGCTGGTGTTCCTGCTGTGGTGGATTCCTAGTTTCTAAATCTAATTTCTACCGATGCAGTTCCCAAAAAGCAAGGCCAATACAAACAATACTAAAACAATACTGACAATACTGTATTTAATAAGTCTATTGAGGGTCCTGTGAGGAGCGGGCCCCCCCCGTTGACATATCAAAGGTGGACATTAAGTAAGGAGGCAGGGCCACGGGCCAAAAACAGCTAGAAACCGCTGAGGCGTCTGCCCAATTGAGGTGCCGGAGCTTCATCTGTGCCCGGTTTGTTGGCGCCATGCCTGGCTGACCTGCACTCAGGTCGTGACCAAATGGGACCAGAACGCCGCTCTGTCGGGCGCCTCTTCGTCAGGCCGGCCGGCCACTGTGAAACGGTGAGACGGTGACACTCAGCCTTTCGGAATTTCACTCTGCAAGCGGTTGATCACAAGTACCCAGCTTCGCTGTGCTGAAATGGCTGACCCAACCACCCACCTGGACTGTCGTACCTGTTCTTGAATGAGCCAGATGCGAATGAATGCTAGGCAAGCAAAGAACAGCGTCTGCTTTGGTTCTGCAATGCTTGTTTGCGCAGCGGCCTTTCTTCATCGATTCATTAGCCACATATACCCTTGTGATCGCCTGTGTTTGTGGCAAACACCTAGTGCCACCTGGCAAGCTTTGTGCGAAGTGACTGGTTTGAAGCTATGATACGTGCTTTCAAGCACAGGCACTTTGGCAATGCAGAAAGCATGGAAATGGATATTCTGGGTCAATGTAAAGGAGCTGCTCCTGGGAGCAAGTTGTATGACAACATATGACAACTGGTCCATTGTTCTTTCCTCTCTCCAGCCAGTCCCGTCCTCATGAAGGACAGCCATCGCCGGGAAAAAGAACTAACCAAACACATCATCGGCTTCTTCCTGACTCTGCCGTATACCTGCCGTTGCTATGGTTGCACCGTCCCTTCAAACAGCTAGCCATTAAATTGCGGTCAACACTTTGTCCGAACGAGTCTGCAATCATGCTGTATGCTGCTTCACGGTCGCTCAACAAAATCAAGCAATACCAGCTGTATGCTGTGGATAGTGTTTGTCTTCCATCATTGCCAACTCTCTAAACACCACACACCCGCGTCTTCATCATAAAACGCAGGATGTAGGCGTCTGGCTTATCCCTGCTGGATGCAGCAGGGTCCATCAATCGCCCATCTGCACTCCAATGCCTAAGTGACAGCAATACTTCGGAGCAGTGATGCTCAAAGTTCAACGACAACCTGCACAGGCTTTTTACAAACCTGTTCCACGCATTCAATCGCAACAAGCTGTCCTGCTTTCAAATTCGACGGGAAAATAAGTAAGTAAGGGTTTGACCGATATCTTTCCCCGCTGCCCTGCATTGAAGGCAAAGTAAACATCTTACCAAGCAATAGATCGACTGGGCCTTGCCCGCAGGAGATGGCGTCCTTGCTCTGGACGCCTCCGCAAAAACCAAACACATGAACTCTAAATCTCAGGACTAATTAGCGGAATCAGCCAACTTGGCCTTGGGCCAAACAGTGTTACTGACTCTCATGTGAGCTGACATACGTGAGGAACCGTCACCGCCCAAAAGCCGAGTATGTTGATAGTACGGTCAGGGTGGTCATCGGCCTCCACATCATGTTGTGTTGACGCTTCAGCTTCCTTGGAGGGATCTAAAGGTAATGTCTCCAAGCCCCCTGTGGAACATGTCCTAGGCTGGGATCGTGGCAAGGGTGTCCTTTCCAGCACCTGAGCGAAAAGCCCCTTGATGCCGCATGATCAGTTCAAGTCGCAAGATCTAGTAATCTTGTAGCTGTCTGGAAGGATGTGCGAAGGGTGTACGCTGAAAATTACAGGCAAGCCACTGGAAACTTGCTTGCTGGAAGGGATAAACCCTCCAATCCTGGTCAAATCGCCAGCATACAGTTGCAAACCAAAAACCAAGTCTCGACAATCAACGAGTCAGATTGATGAGGCTTGCCAACCTGTGACCTCTTATACAAACGTTTTCTGCACCCTGATTCTGGCCCACAGCAATGAATAATGCGCTGCCCAAACCCTTGCAGTCAAATATTCACAAGCAGTTCGTGACTTGGTAGGGCAATGTGCCACAGGTACACTCATGAGTGCTGATCAGCTTCCTGGGAGATATCCTAAAGATCCTACCTCTCTCCGACGATGCACGGTTGACCCAAACGCATGCGGACTCCTGGGCCCATCAGCCTGTCTGCCTGATAGCCCAGGCCGTGTCTTCAACTATTACTATTGCGAGTTCAAACTGTGAGAAACAAAAGCAAAACTCCTTTTCTATTCGAATAGCGATTGCCTTCACCATAATAGTGATGGCCTTCACTGCTGGCCTCCACCCTAATGGCTATGGCCTCCACCCTAATGGCTATGGCCTCCACCCTCATAGTGATGGCCTCCACCCTAAT